CACCGATGGAATATCTAGTGTCGTTTCCTAATTAATGCATAGTTCCGACATGAGCCAAACTATTGTTCAATAGTTTCTGATTCTTCGCAAAACGGACAAATGGGGGAAAGTGTCAGACCAGCTCTGTGTAAATAAAAATTTATTGGGGGGACACGGCACCGGAATCTGGAGATTATTATTTCATGTTTTTTTGACGGGCTCCACTGGGTTTTTCCATGGAAATTTGAGGTGCTGATAATCTGTCCATTGTGTGATGATATTTTCTAAACTATCTGTAAAAATAGCGAATTTCTATTTTCTAAACTATCTGTAAAAATAGCGAATTTCCTATATCTAATCCCTGATAAGTATTCTAACTCGGGAAGTACTGAAATTACTGGTCCATCGAGTGATGCTTGTGCCAAAGCATCTGCCAATTCATTTAATTGTAATGCGCAGTTACCTGGGACCCACACTAATTTGAGGAGTTTTAAATGCGGTGGTGCTAATGTGTGGAACGCTGCTAGGGCACGAGATTGTTCGGAGGTTGTCAGAGCTGCACACACCGAAAGTGAAGTCTGTTAGGAATGATTTCACTGGTCTCGCTCGTAGGAATTTTACGAAGAGCTAAAATAATAGCTACTAGCTCGGCTTCAAATATAGGAGTGAAATCTGGAAGCCTTACTGAAAAAGACCGGCCGAGGAAATCAGACGCAATTCCTACGCCTGCCTTTTCATTGTTGACAGAAGCATCTGTAGCTATTACATTTTTTGTTTCTGCATGTACCAAGTAATCGTTTAATGTAGTGGTAAAAAAATTAAGAGATCGCAACTTGGCTTGTGGGGGGAAGATTTCATCGTACTCTACTCTAATGTTGAGGAATTAGTTTCAATTACTGTGCTAATGTCTACATTTATGCAATCCAGTTTCTTTTTAACGAAAATTATCTGAAGGGTATGAAATCGAGGCCAATGTGCAAGAAAGAAAGAGTCAGGGTCGCTGATAAATGCGTACTCTGATCTTCTATATATATATATATATATATATATATATATATATATATATATATATATATATATATATATATATATATATATATATATATAAATATATATATATATATGTGTTTACTGTGTACATATACAAGTTCAATTTCTCAAAACGCACCATGCCTACACTTTTGACTCTTATAAGAGAACTACACTTATTTCATTTCATTTAATTTATTGAAGCCTTAAGGGCCCGGAGGCATTACATAAGGCGGGGGCAAATAATGTATGAGGGACTCTTAATCACACAAACGCCGAAAAGGAAAGAAAAGACGAAGAAAGGGAGGAAAAACATCCTAAGAAAGGAAACAAGCAAGCAGAAAAAAAAAGAACAACTACCGTAGACTGGAAATAAAACAGCAATATATACAAGTAATCAGCATCTCAATGCATGGGCACTAAAAGTTAGTTACTAACATGGTTCAAATAGGAATTCGTTTCAATTTAGGTCAGATGCATTGTTATTTTTTGCGGAAAGTCGAGCGGTCGGTTGACGAAACAATACTGTCGGGGAGGGTATTCCACAGGGTTATTTAATGAGGGAAAAAAGAATCTTTCATCGATAATGTGCGGCACGCCCCGCCACGGTGGTCTAGTGGCTAAGGTACTCGGCTGCTGACCCACAGGTCACGGTATCGAATCCCGGCTGCATTTCCGATGGAGGCGGAAATGTTGTAGGCCCATGTGCTCAGATTTGGGTGCACGTTAAGGAACACCAGGTGGTCCACATTTCCGGAGCCCTCCACTACGGCGTCTCATAATCATATAGTTGTTTTGGGACGTTAAACCCCACATATCAATCAATGATGTGCGGCACTGAATGTATGCGATTGGTTTGCATGTGGTTGAGGCGCGGCGAGATTCGGGGCGGGGGTTGAAGTCGAGGGTGCCTGGCAAGTGGGTGATAATAGAAAGAGCGAAGCAAGCAGAGGCGCGAGATGATTTGACGTGATTGGAGACATAGAAGGTCAAGTGTGCGTTTGAGTTCAGTGATGCTAAATTTAAGCGAGTAGTTTGACGTTATGAAGCAAGAAGCGCGATTCTGGATGGATTCTAATTCGTAGGCGAGATATGCTTGTGATACGCTTCAACCAATTTAGGCCGAACGTATGTCTGATATGCAAGTTTTTTTAATATCGGGTGATTCAGATCTGAGATTTCGGCACAAAAATCCAAGTGTACATGAAGCATGTGCGCACATTGTTTCAATGTGAGCGACCCATGATAATGACGATGTCAAGTGAGCGCCTAGATACTTATAGCAGTCTGTTCGAGTTATTTCATTTGAATTGATATGGCATGCGTGATTTGCGATTCTGCGTTTACGGGAAAAGGACATGGATTGGCACTTATTGAGGTTAAGAGGCATGAGCCATTTTCCACACCATGCAGCGATAGTGTCAATGTCTTCCTGATGATCAGTGGAATCGCTAGGCTTGCGAATGGCATTGTGAATGACGCAGTCATCGGCGAAAAGTCGAAGTCTGGTTTTTTTTTTTTAGATGGCAGGTCATTGACATAGATTAAAATTATTAGGGGGGATAAGCCTGCGCCCAGGGGGACGCCGGATGTAACACTAGAAATTTGCGAGTCATGAGAGTTGGCAGTTGTGTATTGTACGCGTCCTTTTAAGAAATATTCTATCCAAGTAATAAGTTTCGGGGGAATTTCAAGAGTAGATAATTTTGCAAGCAGGTGCTTGTGTGGGACACGGTCGAAGGCCTTCGAGTAGCGAGGAAGATGGCGTCAATTTGTAGATGATCGTCCATATGTTGCAAGATATCATCAGAGAATTCTGAGAGCTGAGTTTCGCACGATAATAGTTTTCTGAAACCATGCTGGTGCGCATAAAGGAAGTTAATTGGTTCAAGGTAGTTCATTAAATTGGTTGCTATAATGTGTTCTAGCAGTTTGGATGGTATGCTGGTTAGCGAAATTGGGCGGTGATTAGGTGCTTCTGATCGGTTTCCAGACTTGTGGATGGGAATGATTTGTGCCTTCTTCCAATCGTGGTGAACTTCAACAGTGTTAATTGATTGCTGGAACAGCAAGATTAGCATTGCGCTTGACAGGTAAATTGTGTTTTTAAGCAGTTTGCTGCTGATTTGATCACAGTCGGCCGAGGAGGATAACTTGAGAGAGTTTATTAACTTAGATATTCTATCAACGTTAATCTGGATATCAGGCATTCTGGTCGGCAAGTGGAGTGGCGACTGAGTAAAATTAAAGCTTTGAGCAGGCGAAAATGCTGACGTAAAGAGGTCATTAAGGACTGTAGCACATTTTTCAGTATCGATTAATTCGTTGTATACGTTTGACAGCTGGAGTTGTGTTTGACGATTTGGCGGGGAGATAATTTGAAAGAATTTACGAGGGTTAGAGTGTAAAATTGATAAGAGGTCAGTGTAAAAGAATTTGTCTTTGGAGGCTTTCAGTTCCATAATGTATTCATTAGCAGCCAATTTGTACTGATCCCAAGCCCTGGCGTTATTAAAAGTTTTGCTTTCCGATGAAGGCGTTTTTTCTTGTTAAGTAGGCGTTTGAGGCGTTGCGTAAACCACTGGTTATTTGTGTCTGTATTTACAAGGATAGTGGGAATATGTCTGTTTTTTAAAGTTTAGCATCGTGTTTTTATATATTTCGCAATTGATGTTAACCGAGCGGACAGTGTATGACCGTCGGAAGTCGTCGTAGAAGAGTGCAAGTTCGCGGTTAAATGCGTCGAAGTTAGCTTTCTTGTAATCGGTGATTAATGTTTGCGTTGGGACGTTCTTTTTTATAGGCAGAGAAAAGCTGATTTGAAGGAGGCTATGGTCGTTGAGGGCAGGAAGCAAAGTCACATTTTTATGTTTTACAAAACAAAACATCGTCATAAATTAGCTCGCTTACAATGGCGTTACGTAGATAGAATATTTGGAAAGCAGCACAATTTAAGCTGTCCATACAAAATGAGAACGGGTTACAATGAATTTAAGCAGATTAACAGACGGGCTATATATACAATTGGCACTTTTAATGTTTGTGTGTTGTTTTTATTGTGTTTATTATGTAATAGACCTTTCAGAAAGTATAATTATTATCTTCCGCAAAACTGGTATGATAAAACTAAGTCGTTACCGATATAAATGTTGTAACAACGTTACTTATACTCAGGTTTCTCGTGAAACAATCGAGCACACGTAGGCTCATATGAGGGACACTGTGCTCTGGTATCATAGATATTGCCGACAAAACAAGCGTGTAATTTAATTGTCGGTTTGATACTACTTCTCTCTTTGTAGTTCGCCAGTAGCCACTTATGATGTAACTCAGCTCAAAGTGCTGCTTGAGTGAGAAGCTAGGCGGATCCGTGCAAATATCGATTGACTTTTTTTGTGTTTGTGAGTCGGCAGGCTCTTGAAACAGGGAATGTATCAACGCAATTTCGACGTGCCTGCATATTAACTCGTGCACCATGGCGCGTAGCAGGTGGGCCCACTGATAAAGGCTCAGAAACGCATCAAACGCGCTAAAACGAGCAACTACATGCTGCCGCAGGCTACGGCGTACGCGCTCCCAAAGCAGACGCTCCATGACACTTTCAGTACCATGAGACTACAGCGCCGCCACTACTGTCACCCGCCGGAGATCAGCCGAGATGCGGCGTTGCTGCCTCGTTCATTCCACTGCCCCCGTGGTGGTGGTGGTGGTGCCCCCCTCTAGGCTCTAGTACACTGTGCTCTAGTAATTTTGGAGGCCATTGCACTGACGATCTGAAGTTCAGTGCCTTCATGAAACGATTCGTGAAACAAATAAACCTATCTACCAAGTGACAAAACGTGACATCAAGCATAAAAAAAAAACAATTCATAGCGGCATCAGCACAAAGCATAGACAAGCATACTAGGGATAAGTACCAATGTTAGACGTCAGGAGGCTCTGGCCCTGCTGCTGCCGGCTGCCCCACCTGGCGGCTCCTTTCGTAACGAGCCCGTCTCCCAGCGCTGAGTAGTGCGACATCTCTGGAGTACGTGCGATAGTTCTGCCACACAAGACACGGATAATGCTGCTCAATTGTACGTACCAGTTCACAATGCTGCCAGCCTCTCGCTGCTGTTCATATTGGGGCCAACTTTTTATCATTTCGTGAGAAACTTGCAGCGTAAAGCATGAAGCGGCTGTGCTTGCGCTGTGCGATCACTCGAGAAGAAAGCGGAGAAAATGGCTGCACTCTTTGAAAAACTTCTTACGCTTTCCATTAGTGAGATTTCTCTTTCTTTAATAGTCGCTTTCGTGAGTGATCTCGGACGTAGGCTTCCTCGATATCGTGAAGGTGGCACAATATTTTAAACGGCAATACGGTGCGACATGTCAGCCATGTTTTGTATAGCCACTTGTCCGTGTATTTGTGCACCGCGCACGTTGCTGCGTCTCCCTGGATGCTGCGGCAAGGCTTTTCACCCGCGCGAGGCACGAAATGTGCTTTGATGAGCGACACCTGTCGACTGGCCGCAGAATATGGGCGTGTTAGCGCCTGCGGCATCTGCGACCTGGCGCTGGCTGGCTTAACTAACTCGTGTACAGCGACGGCATCAATCAGACGATGCCTTGCGCACTCGGCTCTGAGCGCGTTTTATTATTTCACCCTCCACGTGTTTACCTACCAACCGTGGCACTGGTCTACCGGGCAAAGAACTGTTCGATGACGGGCAAACTATTTAGATAGGGTAATTCGGAACCAGAGAGTGCCTAATTAAAGGTGCGAAATATTTAACTGAAAAGGGCTGATATGTGAATGTATGTATATGCACGAAAAAATAGTTGGCTGATCGTTTTCATTAAAATACTTTTGCCCTGCCAAGCTAACATTCGTTTGCAGAACACCAAAAGACAAATATGTTCCATATTCGGACCAAGCTGCTTTTAAAATAGTTTTTCTTTATGCATTAGATTGTGTACAGGTTAAGGAACGAAATGACAAATGGTTTCTGGCTCGCCACAGATTGAGCCACAGTGGTCAAAAGTATCTAACCAGGATGTGTTATGCCTTATGCTATGCTGGTCTTATCAAGTACCACTCGCATAATGTTGATGGGCCATTGCTTTGACCCATCAACGAGCATCAGAAAAGCATCACTTTACTTGCGCTTATAGAAATTTAGCTCTGGAAGATTCAGCCTTGTCATGCACACTTCCGGTTCGTGTGTTTGACAAAAGGCTGTGCATCAGGGGTATGGGAGATGATTTAGACTTCATCCCGAAGTTTTGAAGAAACCCCAGTTTCATACCCAACCAGACAGACTTCTGTGGAATGTTTTCTTTCAAGTCAATCAGGGGTATGATATTTGGCAGGGCTAGTCAATGCCAACTCTGTGCTTCCATGACCCATGAAGCCAAGCACCTGTGGCATAGGGTGGATACAGCATGGCATTGGCAGTCTCATTGAGAAGTGATGCTTCACTGGGCTGTTCTTAAAAGGCAAGTACAAAACTTCGAGGTCCAAAAATTGTAACGAAGAGAAATATGTGTACTTTTGCTATGTGAACATGATGCCGCAGGAATATTGCCAATACAAGCTATAATAAGGAAGTTAAACGTGTTACAACATCCTTTTATACTGGTTTTAAATTTCCGCATTGCCTGACCAGCCTTCTTTGTCATAGAAAGGGGAAAGCGCAGCCTGTCGTTGTGGCTGTGGTTACATGACACTATGTCAGCAATACGTCACTGCTGCGCAAGGCAACAACCGAGCAGGGCTTCCCCCTCATGAGCACGTGTCATACCTTTTTCCTGGGTGGCACAGTAGTGAGAGGCCTCTTTATCTCGGAGGCTTCCGTTCTGGCCACTTCTCCTGGTAGTCTCGGGCTCCACAAAACAGTAGCACGAAAAAATGAGAAGGTAGGCTGCACGGCCGCAACTGCACGATCGCAGGGCCAAGGCGCCGTTCGTAAAGCAAAGAACCAATCGAAATCGACAAGCTCATAGGTACGTCAAGTTGCCCATGTTCAGGCTTGCATCACTGCGGGTCGGAGGGGGATTGGTCAGAAGGGAAGAGGTGCGGGAATCATTTTCCGAAATGGAGGGTCGGTGTGGCACTGTAAGATTTTAGGAAAATCTGATTGCCAGGGTCTAACTGTACCAATCGGCAAGATTGCTTGGCGGGTTTAAAAAAAGAGAACTCTGAGCCTGTTCATTGGCCCTTTAAGGAAGGGATGACCACATACTAATTTGTGAAATCAAGAAATGGATCTTTCAGTGTATAAGATATAACTAGGGTACTGTGTTTTTGAAGTTTATTATTCTTGAAATTCAAAAAGTGTTTTCTGGAGTTAATATTTTAGGAGATTCAGCATTTATTGTGCATTGTAAATCTTAACTTCTCCAAAATCTTGTGTTTAATTTTGTGTTATAAGTTGTTAGAATACCTTCTGAATTTTATTTTTAACTGGAAATGCATAGCACTGTTGCTGAAAATCCTCTTTTTCTATTGTTTCCTTTTTCTCCCTTCCTGTTCATTAGTAAATTTAAGACTGTTGGTTATGCACTGTTGTAAACTTCACAAGGTGGGCATTTGGGGTGAGCAGGGGCTAGTCAAGCTGTTTCTGAGTGTTTTCTCTCTGCCTTTTTTATCTTCTTGCATGGAAAATGATGAATCGAATATTATTCTCAATACTCCGTAATATTAGACGAGAGAGAGTAAGGTTGAGTGAAAAGCGGAGAGGAATGATATATCAACACACTAAATGTGTTTTAGATGTCTAAAAATACTTAGCTGTGAAGTGCGCATGTTTGTATGTTATTGCAGGCATACTTTGTGAGTTGCTTCCACTGATAGAGGTGCAGTCCTTTCGGTTGATGATGATGATGCACTGTGAACGTTGTGAATACCTGTTAAACAGGACGTTATCGGATAAATCCAAATGGTCAGAAAAATTACTGGCGAGTGTTTAGTGGATTTCGCAGAGTGACTTGTTGGGCGATATGGTTCATTCGTAAGGTAGCTTTTGGCGCAAAATACGCACGAGAGACTGGAAAGCACAAACTATCAACTGAATTTATTCGAGTGGAGTTTAGTGGATTCTCTTGGATTTATTTGAAAACATTGAGCCCTAACTATAACTTAGCCACACACAAACACTGCATTGTTTTGCCACCAACCCAGGCCTGCATATGTTGAGAACTGTGGAGCCTCTCACGTTAGTTGACAAAGAACTCCCTGTCTAGGCAGTGCAGGCCAGGACACTTGATGCAATACAGGTATAAGACAGTGTAGAATTACGATGACTTACTGCATTTCTAATTTTGTTGCCATGTATTTTATTGTTGTTATTATTAACCTGCACTGTAACATTTTGAGTTTACTTCATATTTCACTGTAACCCTCATTGTGGGCCTGTTAGGTATTTTTCAATCAATAAATAAATGCTAAAACATGGCATTCGATTGTGCTAATTTTGCGAGAAGAGAATCAGTGCTGTCCCGTAAACTATGAAATAACCACCGATGCCATTTGGTGGGCTGCACTGACGGCTTTAGTCTATTATTTTCAAGGCATGCTTCCAAGGAATCGGGGATGTGAGAAAAGTACACCACGGAATTCCCCAAAATTGAGAATGATGCTATTATGAGTGGACCTGTGCCAAGAGCCCATGTGCTTTTCTCTGGCTGCATAGTGAATGCTTGAGAGAACTGTCACCTGCCTCACTTCAAGGCGGTAACTGTGTAATGTGGTCTTGTATTACTAAGTAAACATATAAAGTTCTGCTGTTAAAGAAGGATATCGTTAGTTAACCCTTGCTGGTGTGAAATTGAGCTAGGGAAAGAAGCAAGTGTACCCCTCTCACTAGCAGATAGTAAAGCACTCACTGATTTGTTTGCTTTGATGGGTTTGGGCTTCACCCACAAAAACGGTTAGCTGTGCTATGTACTGCTGTAGACAGATTTACGTGCAATAGACAGAATTACGTGCTTGCCAACCAGCTAGCAGATTGCAATCTAACCAAAGGTAGTCAATCAGAATCTTTGGCCGATGGTGCAAATACCGTTGGGCAGTTTCAGCTTGTTCATAAAATATGGTTTTCGCAATGAGATATCACCGGCGTATAGCAGCAATAATGCTGGTAGCAACATTTTTGTGGAAGATTGCGTATATAGGCTTATGCAGAATGCATGAAGCTGCCATAACTTTTCTTATACTCCTCATCTACTGGTGTAAACTGTTCATTATCTAGAAATACCTCATACCTATTGTATTGACACGTAGTGGTGTCTATGATGACAGTGGCAGTCACTCTGGCAGAAATTAAACTCACGAATATGCAAACTTGTGCCCAGAAAATGAAATCGAAGTACAAGCAGCGTACCCTGTGTATACTCGCAATAACTCGTCGGCATTCAGTAATCTGATCATCGGCACCACGTAGATTGTATTGATAGATCAATGGTTGCACCTTCCAAGCGTTATCGTTGGTGCACATGTATGCTCGCAAAATAAGATGCACGCGTACTGCGCGTAATCCAAATAATAATTGTCGAGTTCTTATGGTCCTGAAACGATGATATGATGATGAGGAATGCAGAAGTGGGGGAATCGAGAAATTTTGACTGTGTCGCCTTCATCGACATGCGGCAGCAGGATTTGCACGCAATCTGAGCCAATCTCAAAGTTTAGGAAACCATGCGGGTGCCTTGTCTCGAGTGGTCATAAGGCTCTTTTTTTCTTAAACATGATCGAACCAACATAAAAGTGCATCACAGCATGATTGCACACATTTTTGTGGGAGAACACAACTATTCATGCTGTTGCCGGCTATAGCTGGTATTACCTGGTAAATAGTAGTAGGGCAAAAAATAGGGAGTCTCAATCATTCATGCTGAATAAGTTGAGATGCATGATACAGGTGTATCCTTTAAGAGTTATTGACAACTTACCGTATCGTTTAAGAGCTATCGACAACTTTTTAAGTATCAACAACTTATCGACCAGTTAAGGTAAGACAACAACAATAACGAAAAAATCGTGTTCTATGGAAAATTCTCTGAAATGCCTCGTTCGGACATTCATAAAAAAAACAAA